ACGAATCGTAATATTCGTAACTGTATAATAATATTATGTTGGCTGTTCGTCGTCCGGTTGTGTTATCTACAACACATCGTAATTGTAGGTAAGTATTTCATTTTAAACCATCATGCTATTATTAACTATAAAAGAGCGTGCTCCGACTTCGTCGGCAGGGTTTGCAAAAACACAAAAAATAAAGCTCGGAAAAATTATTGAGCTGTTCCCTCTAAAAAACAAATCACAATAATCATCTATAAATGAATATAAATGTGCCAAAGTTCCCTGCCATTCCCGATTAATGACTTTCGAGAAATCACCTCCCGCCAAAGTGCGTCGCACCAATCGCAGACAACTGTTATTGACAATCATTGACATTCGACGGTGCAACAACGATAAATAATAATATTATGTTATTCACGCTTAGAGTTGTGCCCAGCCGACGATTACACCGCATCGGAATAATATTTTTATAATACTCGACGATTTACGACGACGGTGGTTGATGCGTCTACAGATCAGAAGACGACCTGACCGCGGCCGGACGTCGGGTTTATTGCGAACTTCCGGTCGTGGAACAATATAAGTACCGTTCCGGACGACCATATTATTATTGTTTCGTGTACGTAATATTATTATCATCTACGACTTCCGTCCAGTGGCATAATACCTACACGTTTATACGCCTATCATCCCATCCACGTCGGATCTCAATGATTCCTGCTAGTCCGAGAGATAAATGTACCTAATGATTGTAGGTAGGCAGATATATATATATAAATGTTAATGTTAAAATGTATAATATTGGCACTTTGGCGATTGGCCTTTTCCCTTGAAAACTCCAACTACCCACTTTCCGTAATAATAACCTTATAATAATACATCGCGTTTAATTCTATGTTATTGTCGTGGTCCTGATACTAATATTATTGGATAATTATATGAAGAAGAAAATACTAAAATATGGTACTTCTATAATATACTTACGAGATTCTATACGGTCTCCGATCGACGTTGACAACACCCCCCGGGCAAAGCACCGCATAAGTTAGGTTATATAGTTTGTCATTTAAAAACTACTGAAAAATACGAGTCTAATACACACATAATATAATGGTTGTGGTAGACAGTCTAATATGATCACCAAGCGGCCAGTAATCGAACTTATTTGGCTCGTATAAAGAGGAAATTTATTTATTTTGATAGTGAATTAAAAGAGATTTTTGTGAATGTTGATTTTATTTTTTTATTTTATTTGAACAAACATGTACCTACATTGCATTTCGATTGATCCCGAAAACTCCTTAAAGAAAATTGGCCCTCCGAAAATACTAATTGGTGATTCCCAGAATAATATATAATCGTTAGATCGTTTTTTTTTTTTTTTTAAAAGAATCTTATTATTATATCAACACAATATAATGCACAAAGTATTAAACAAAACAACAACAATTACCTACTCCTTTAAGCAGAGCTTGTGATGGTTGTGTAGTGAGTTAGACTCCAAATTATGAAATAAAAATAAATTGAGTTATACATAATAATAAAATAAAAAGCAAAGCAATAACACACAGACTTGGTACTACCAAACTATAAAAATGTACACATTTCATTAAATAATCCATTATTGATACATTTTTTACTTACACATAACGAGATACAAATATTTTATAAATATATAGTCAGTATAACTATTAATCATGTGTTACAACCAAAGCTGCACACATCGTACAACGACTTATGTATTATTAAGTCTGAATTCGCTCACTGCCAAAATAGTATTTATTTAATACATTTATAGGTAGTTATTGTCAAACGCAATAATAATATTAGTAATTTAAGTACTTCAATTGTATAATAATTTATATCAATCGTGTCTATCCTCCCTTCCCTGCTATTATAATAATATGTATTATATTATCATTTAGATTTTATCGTGCACAATGAACACGTGTGACCGCCGCTTGATGTCTTGATTTAATATAACATATTATATGGTATTATAGGTAGATATTTCAAGAAGTATTGTGGAATTCAATTTAACTTCAAATAATACATAAATTAAAATTACCATTACAAAATACTAATATAGGTACTAATTATACCTATTAAATAATTAATAATATGATACAATAATGTGAACAATTTACAATAGATTGATACGACTGTGGCTTGTCGATTTTATAGAAAGTTTAAAGACTTTATACTTAACATGCTTTTTGTAATGATCAAAGGTTTTATTTTTTTGTAGAACTGACAGCAATAGGTTATGTTTTCCGATCCCGTTGAGTTATATATAATTCTTTAACATTGTTCCCTTTTGGACGAATATTAAAGTTTGATTTTTAGCAACTCTACGTTCACGAAGGGGGATGATTGGGGAAGAGAAGAAGGTTAAATAAACATAAAATACAATCAAATTCATTTCGATCACTAAATCTTTGTAAATCGGTAAAAAGTCGGTACTTTAATATTTTCAAAGACACGTTTGGAAACAAAATATCTTAAAGTCTTAAATTAATTTACACTTATAAGTATCAAAATATTCTAGAAAAATGCGAAAAAAATGCACCAAAAGAGTTTGTATTTAAATTCACGTCACACTGTAAAACGTATGTTGCGCTTCCAATTGGCCCCTTTTTTACCATTACCCGGAAAAAAATAATATTCAAATGTACACGCGAATCCCGTAATAATAAATCATATTATGTGGATCGAGATCACAAACGCACATCATAAATAAAAATATTCGTTATTTTATCGTATGAATAAAAAATTAAAAAAAGGTAATAATATTGTTACGGTATTTAAAAATGTTGTCTACACGTCGTCGTCAACGAGATCGGTGCTCGGGTAGGCTGGAATCGTTTCCTCGGCTCACCGATGTGTTAAAACTCGAATCGCATCATCATCGTTATTCTTGATACTTAAAACGATACTCGCCGCTTCGTGCCGTGTGTACCTAAGGTTTTTCTATCATTATTATTAAGACAGAATATTATATATTATAGTTAGCAGGACTCGAGAGTTGGAAAATATTTACTCATCAGAGCTTGCATAATATACAAGTGCTTAAAAACGCTAAAAGACTGTGCGAGTGATAATAAAGTAGAAGCATTAAAATATTATTATATAATAACGCTAATTTCAAATTTTGAGTGTCTCTTTATAACTTGTCAGTGCATACTAAATCATTAACATTAACAACTATAATGACGTATAAAGTAATAATTCAATGTTCCTTAAAATCGTCAAAATGACATAGAGTTACCTAATATTAAAAGTTTTAAACGTGTGAAAAAAATTATTTTAATATTTACAATCCCCGTGCCCATTATAATGGCGTATAATAAAATATATGAATTAGATAAATATTACATTTTTCATGGGACAATATAGGGTACAACACATAGCAATGACGATCTGAGCCTTGATTGCACACTGTGCATACATTTAATGTGTTCCTCTCGACTGTTTAGTTAAATTGGGCTGAAACTCTTAAAGTTTTTAGATACTCTAAAAATATTTAACATCTAAGTCTTACGGTTTCGATAGTATTAAATTTGGTTTTATCGAATTGTAATTCCAAAAAAAGTAGAGGGTACTATTATGGTACTATACCTAGTACCTACCTACTATGATAAATCGTACTATGAGATGATTTTTTTTTAAATATAAATTGACAATATTATATACTACATGGGGAAGATCGTAAACAGTGATTTGCCACCTTGCCAGTCAGACCTTAGGGGAAAAACGTAGTAACACGATAATAACTCTGACGGGAATACAGAAACTCGAACGAAGTTTTCCAATAAAATAACGGAGAGGGCGAATATTTAGCTGTTAAGTATATTATATTGTATTATAAAGCTTATGTAACAGAAATCGACGTGTCTCGAGGCAAGGTTCACCTATAATAGTATACCTAATATTATTATATTAAAGGAAAATACTTTTCTAAATACTTTGATGTATTAAGTATAATATGACGAGGGGTGGGTCCTCAGTAAAAGTTGTATTCCGCTGCACTCCATTTATTTAAAATTTAAATACTTAAAAATCTATACTTAATTCAATATCCGACATTGTTCAACATAAATTATTTTTGAAAAGTATTCTGACTCCACAATGAAACTAAAAATGTAGTAACAAAAAACCTAAAAAAACTCACCATGTACACGGTACAAAATTAGATATTTTTTTTTGTAAGTATTATAAATACAAATCAAATTATATAAAATGTAGCCATTAATAAGCGTCATCTCATGTGAATGGCTTTATAAATATATGTTTTTGTATCAAACGGTTTCCAAAAGGTCGCGTGTAGCTCCATCCTCTCTCCCCCCGAGCAGAGATGGTAAAAATCACTTATGTTTGATTTAATACAATCAAACTACCCCTCTTAAAAGTAATGAAAATCTCGGAAATTACTACGCTATTGTTAATAATCATTAAACATAATCCAACTGCAGAAAGCGACTGCATACAATACTATAGTTGCACCGGTTCGTTGATCGTGTCGGATCATCTCTTCCGGCCTGCCGAGACCTCGGTGTTTAAGAGTCACGATATATATAGCTTGTCCAATCAAATTAATATGTTTCAAAGCCGCACATATTATATATACACATTGATAGTAATAATATAACGACCCATGTCGGCGGCGGGGCCAAAGTCCTTTTCTCGTCATCGCGACAAGTCATCCGGAGGATTAACACGATTTTCGGTCGCTACCATCACTATCACACTATCGTCACTCTGCAGTTTCGATCTCTCTCTATCTTCACCGTCTCCGTCCGAACGGGCTTTCGGTTTTTGTATACCTATAAGCGTGATAGTAATAACTATGTGGATAATTTGATCGTGAAAGGGGTGGGAGTGAACAAAATTTTATCTCTGGAAAACCAAACACTGCAGCAATTATTCACTCGTTATGCATAACTTTTTTTTTTTAACAGCAACTGGACCAAAAATATCCAAATTGCTTATTAATAATTATTTTTGTACCATTACAGATGAGGGTGCTGTGCCAAGAGTCGATCACCACCGAAGGAGGAGTGGTGGTGGGCAGCGGTGCCGGACCCACGGAGCTCTATCCGAACGGCGAAGAAGGTGTGGACGACGTCGGCAGGGAGAACGTGTTTGTGCTCAACGATACCAGGGAAGCTCTGTCTCACGACGGTAGCGAACACAATTCCGTAAGTGTACATTTAATGCACTTAAATTAACTGCACCTGCAACAAAAATTCAAATCTGTAGCTTTGTATCGTAACTATTATAATTATTGATCAAAATTTGCTTATCACATTTTGTGCCCAAAACCGGAAGTCCCAACCTCAAAAAAATTGTCTGCCATATTATTATGCGGTAGCACATGGTTTAGTTTGGCATCGCTGGCTTGAAAATAATTGATTTCGCTGGAGTCGCAAAATAAAATTTCCCTGAAATGGCATGAGTTTTTTGAATTGATGTGTGTAATTGTGCTGTGTAATATAGAATAATAATAAAATCAAATATAAAAATACCTGGGCTTAATATGATCCTGCGAAAAAATTGTTTGAAATGATGGCTGGACAACGATTTTCAGGGCAAAAGATTTAGGCGAATTACTCTAACAAATTTTCGGTTGGAGGACTAAGCTCATAAGATTATTACTGCGACAGCATTACTATAAAAATATTATTATCTATTATAGGTATATATAAAATACCGCAATCCTATTATTGTATTTATAGTGGAAATAATTTATAACAAAGTAGGTCATAACAACTTTTTTGTATTTCTATTTAATTTTTACAGCTATAGGTAATACTATACTTGATTTTTTTTCATATCATATAATATTTTGAACATTTTTTTCGTACCCAAAATATAGGAAAGAGCTTGTAGCAAATTATCGCAAACATCAAACAAAAACACATTTTCTTTATTATAAATAATATTATTATATTTCCACATCAGATTGTACTTTGTTCACTCGACCAGCCATTAATTTATAATATACATGCGTACCTACCACCGGTGTAGGTAATTAATTTTATACATACGAGGGACGGACCCGGGAGCTGCTGAATTTTAGTTTATGGTTAATAAAGACATAATCGTTCTCGGGTTGCTGAGGGGGCGAAAATCAAATCGAAAACATAGGTATAATAGTATAGGTATAATGGTAATCATACACCACGATATGTACGATAATATCATAATAATGGTACATTATATACCTTTAGACAGTTAAATGTTTACGACCACTTGAATAATAATAATATTATAAGGGCTTCATTTTTTCGTTATTGTAATTTACTGTAAGCTTTAATTACATCGATTTGTGTTTTTTTCCACCAGCCGACGAACGGTAAAATAAAATTATTATACTCTGGACTCTGCCATAGCCATTAGGTGTACGTGGTATATGTGGTACATTCGATAAATTATGTGTAGTATAATATTATGTACCAGATTTATATATCTATCATGACTGGATATATAGATACCTACCTAATTTCTATAATACAGTTGTTATTTGTAACTTCTCAAAATGTCGTATATATTATCAATGGGACTTTCAACGGTTTGCTTAAAAATATATTTATTTATACATTTAATTTAATGAATTTAAATTTTTGGTTCCTTTTTTTTTTATTAGTCCGTCTGATATTAATTATTTGAGTGTAGCTTCATTTCCATGTATATCCTGATATGCTGTTGTTGAATATTTTTGGGATGTGACAAAAAAGCAACGAATAAATTGTTATTTCATTTAAAAATACGCCTCAACTACCAGGGTTATTGGCGTTTCTGAAGAAACACATTACATTTTATAATTTCTAAAATACATTACTAATACCATTATATCCAAAATATCTTAAAATGACACATTAAGTTTTAGCGTCCTTATTGAAAATACATGTGATATAATTTTATGTGTTCTCGATATATTTTCTGAAATAGGTTTGTCTCTTTGAGGAATTCCAGAAGAATTCTCTCTGTGTTGGGTGATAGTATTTCGCATTGATTTTAGAGGACAGTAGTACAGGTTAAAACAGAGTGAGATAATTATATATATATATATCGCAAACGAACCTATTATATTATATCTACCTAATAATTTAATAGCTTAAAGTAAGATAATTAATTATTAAGATGATACTATTATATAGTTTAAACTTCAACTTGTCATAAAATATAATTTATTATAGCGTGTGCACTTTGCTTATCAATAAGTTAATATATTTTGGAGCTACTTTGTAATGACTAAGCTCAGAGTGTGTTCGGTCCTTTATACTTGGGTAGGTACTTATATTTTTTCCCCATAGTCATAAGTCGATGTCATATAATAAAGGTAATATTTTTATTACTATTATTACTACCTACATAGCTATTTTGTACCCAATATACAAATAATGATAGTGACTAATAATAATATACTCAAGTCATATTGTTTTAATCGCTCATTCGTGTTCGGTTCACTAAAGCACCTATATTAGGTAGACGGTAATCCCGTTTTAAAGAACCTTTCACCCTGCAGGGAAATTTTCTTTTTGAACAACAACACGAATCCCTCGTATTTATTATTTACAACAACGCACTGATAATTGTTGCCCTACACAGCAGATGTATTATACATATATAACAACGTACACTGTGTAAATATTATAAACCATTGTGACAAGGTTCTCGGAAAATGGGTGGCAAAAAGGTCGTCCATTGTATTATAACAACTCGGGAGAATTTTAATAACGTGCTAATAGTTGTTTCGACAACAAACAGACAGCATTAGTAAATATTAAAACAAAATTGTTAATGTACAGCATAACATTCATGCGCAACTGGGGTTGCACATAAAAATTATGCCATGCGTTACGGAATATATGAATAATTCTATAATTTATTAGTATTAGTTGTACTGGGCACTTGGTCTAAGATCCACCATTTTAAAACGTTTATGAAAATGAGTGGGCAAACTTCAACCCTGCGATTGATATCATGATATAATATAGAAAGGCAATACACAGGTAGATAGTTTGTAAATTCAAATGATCGTTCTCATAATCGTGGGCGTATGCAACCATGCATAAGACTCAGTCGCAGCGATAGGGGTCCAGGAGTGCTGCAAAAATCAAAGTTAAAAATAAGCCACGGGGGCAAATTCAACCCACCTCCACTTGACATTAACATACAAAGCTCCTCTTTCATAATACGAGGGTTGGAAGCTCGACTTTTTAAGATGTATTTGATAGGCAATTGTCAGATGTCACGTACCTACAGTGCAGCTTTTTTCCGATTGCACAATGAATCATGCATATGTCATTACATTCAATGAAACACAATATTTCGTTCTTACAAGAAACTAATATTTAGATAAATTTACACCTAAAAGTTTAAGAAATTGACGCCTAATTCGAAACACCTTTTTTCCATGGATCATTGTGCAAGTTAATTTAACACAATATACTTAATAACAAGTCTTATTACACGTTCGCCTAAAGCTTGATCGCAGTCTATACGGAATGTATTACCACTATTACCACTAAAATATTATAAAATTACCGTTAATACCGTTTCATATTGTTACGGTACAATGTTTTAACATCATCATCACATCTAAAAGTTTACAACACACAATGGGCAATTCAATAATCATCTTCCTCTCAAATCTCAATCGCCGCTAGTTATATTAATTTTTTTTCATACATTTTCTGTCCCGAATCCAATTGCAAGTGCTTTTTTTTTCACCGGACACTTACATGTTATTATAACACTAATAACAACAACAGCGACGACAGCAACTATAGTAATAATTATTAATGTTGTAGCTGATATTTACTATATTTTCTGTATAATAATATTATTACCACCCATCAGATTGTTGAACTCAAATGTATTTATATATATATATATATATATATATTAAATATGTGCATTGTAATCATCTCGGTGTTATCTACACGCTTTGGCTTCGCTATTTGATCTATGTCTGCAGAAAACTGATGAACATTAAAAACGATAGGACATTAAGGCGAATAACTACGATTTGCACCTAGGTGTAAACATTTCACATTATATGGGGTTATGATAGCACGCAAATTATATAGTAATTTGCAGTAAAAAATTAATTAAAACAATAGTAATTAAGAACAAAATATTTTTGCTACTCTCAATAACTTTCAATAACTTAAACTTTATGTTCAAGGACTGACAGTAATGTAATAATTTTAATCAGTCTAGGAAAGCTTAAAGTATTTCATGTTGGACAATAATTATCCACGAAAGTTCTCCATGGTTGAAGTTCACAGTAAATGTAACTCATCGTCAATATATTATCTTTTAACACGTGAATAATCATAAGTAATGAAATTAATTGATTGAAAACGATCACCTAATAAACTTTAAATTTGACAATAAGCCAATTCAGTATAATTTTAAAACTGAAAACAAATGGATTCTTCTAAACTAAAATTCGATTTGGTATACGTATTTTGTACGTTTTAAGACTCCCGATGACTTTATATCATATAATATATTTTAATCACCAGAATGTCTTATAATGTTTTAAATGTCTGAAAAATAATATTTCTCACACGTCATAATAATGTTAATATATTTTAGGTTCTCAAAATTATCAAAGAGAATAAAAAAATGTTCCAAAACCACGTACAACTTTTTCCGACTTATAATATATATATAGTTAAAACGTATATTTTTCCCTTTGCCGAATAGGTGGCTGCAAATATGCATAATTCATACGGCCATTCAAAGTCCAAGGGTGATATAACGATTAAGCCGTATTAAAAGAATAATAAATAACTACTGTGATCATAATATTACATGTAGTGCGCAGTTCCGACTTCCGATTGTCATGAAAAAAATAATATAAAATGCAATACGAAATCTATCGAGTCTCGCTGAACTCACCTTTTGAATCTCGAAAGACGGTTATACTACCGAATAATAATAAGAATCATTTATGCGATATTATCCGAAAATCGTTCGAAAAAATAATGTTATAAAATAAACATCGTCGACGCGCCTCTTGAAGACGGTTTTGTTTTAGCCGATTTCAGACTCTCCCCCAAAAGTTTAATGACAAAAAGTTTCGGATAAATCGTATAATATTTAAATCGAGTACAACTGAGATGCATTTCACGAGTCATGCATTTCAAAGTCAGAACGTCGAGTAATTGATATCGTTTTACAC